TCGAACATGGGAATCAAGAAGGAAGCGCCGTGCCTCGTTCTGAGGCTTGTCCCTCTGGATAACATCCAGCCGTGGGGTAAGATAGCTTCATCGTTTGTTTTTCTCTGCTCGCTGTTTTCGTTTTAACGTGAGTCACTCGTGAAACGCGGCTCGATCTCGTGACTTGTTCATCCCAACACTGGACCATTCTTACCAGTTCTGTCTATTGTCGTTTGATAAAACATTCACCAGCTTGTTCGAATTGTTCCTAGTTGGGTAAAACTCATCTCGTCGGAGAATACGTAAATGTTTAATCGTTCACTGGTCGTAATCGTCGCTGTTCTACGTTGCACTTTATTACACATTTAACACGTACGACAGATGAATGCATGATTCCCAGTCTTATCGAGAGAATTATCGTATTGTTGTACCGTAGCTAAAAATGTGTTGCAAGATCATATCGTTGAAACAATCCGAACAGAAATGTAATGTCAGCAGCTGAGACAATCACGTTCTCGTTTATTTATAATGTAGCCGACGATTCCGATTAAACTGGACGTGATTCGAGAAGAACGAGTATGGTCAATGGTATTTCTGAGAGAGAATTATTACACACGAAGTCGGGCGCACGGTGTACATTATAAATACAATCTCCGGATGACTCAGGCAGGCGTTGAGTATCGTTTAGATTTTAGGCGCAACGCGTGTCCGATGACTCGGTCCCGCGTTAATCTAAAGAATGGCGGAATCACGGATTCCTCCTACCGGCTGTCTCGTCTCGTTTTCTGCGTTAAGTCACATCGCGGGTAAAACGTTTACGCGCCGTGACGGAATTCAATCGACTGTTGCAACACGATAACGCGTTCCATCGATTCCATTCCAGGAGATACACTTTTTTCTGCTTCTTATCCAGCGTTGATGTCTCTCGAGTTATTCGAGAGAAATTCGATTTTCTATTAGATTAGTCCTGTTTTAAATTGTCGAATCGGGAATGTTGCTAGCGAGTTTAACATTGTTTCAATTACAACTATATAGGTAGAAATACGATTGTTCTTAAAGGATAGTTCAATTAATTACTTATCAATATCAACGAGTATCTATGATTACAGGTTTATTTTTCTGATTAGAAACGTGATTAAATATTTCTTGTATCTTTTGATTCGGGATGCAAGTCGAAGTAAACGACGTGATGAAATGTAGGTCACTTAATTTAGGTCATCGCAACTTGTTCGTCGGTCTCATTTCGCAGGTAGTTCAACGCACCGTCTCACTGTTTCTTCCAAGTGTCATCAATCGTTCAGACAACAATTTCTTTCAAACGTTTCTTACAAACAAGATCATTGCGTCGGTCCGTGTGGCTAGTTCCGCGAAACCTTAATTGCTAACGATTGCTCAACAGTAATTAGAAACGAGCGCGCTCCTCCATCCGGGAGGCACGTACAAAAGCTCTGTGGCGTTCCTGTACCGAGAAATTAAAATGAGTAGCTGTGAGCGAAAAATCGGGCCGATGCCCCGATCGAACCGGCGTGTACCCGTTTCCTTAATAAAATTGCGACCTATTAAGTATAATTACCGTTCGACTGTCGTTAGGAACGAGCAATATCTCGGATGATAAAACCTGAACCAGTGGCACTGAGTATTAAACAAGTACATAAAATAATCAATGGGAGGCTAATAAAAAATATGCAGCCGACTGCGAGAATTCGCAGTTAATATCACTAGAAAGACGACGACGAATCTTGGAACATTTTAATGAAACGTGCCTTGAAAATGTTCTTCAGAATTATACGAGAAATCAAGTTGAGATCAGCGTTTCTCGTTAAGATTAGTTAACTGGTCTTCATTATGAGATATCCTTGCGAGTCGCTCCGGTTTGTTAAGGCTACGCGGATCGCGTAACGAGTTTCGCCGTCTAGAACTGAAAACCGTTATGCCAGATCATATTATACGGCGCTTGTCCATTGCGAACGGTGAGAAAAAAAAAAAATTACGCGCCGTGACGGAATTCAATCGACTGTTGCAACACGATAACGCGTTCCATCGATTCCATTCCAGGAGATACACTTTTTTCTGCTTCTTATCCAGCGTTGATGTCTCTCGAGTTATTCGAGAGAAATTCGATTTTCTATTAGATTAGTCCTGTTTTAAATTGTCGAATCGGGAATGTTGCTAGCGAGTTTAACATTGTTTCAATTACAACTATATAGGTAGAAATACGATTGTTCTTAAAGGATAGTTCAATTAATTACTTATCAATATCAACGAGTATCTATGATTACAGGTTTATTTTTCTGATTAGAAACGTGATTAAATATTTCTTGTATCTTTTGATTCGGGATGCAAGTCGAAGTAAACGACGTGATGAAATGTAGGTCACTTAATTTAGGTCATCGCAACTTGTTCGTCGGTCTCATTTCGCAGGTAGTTCAACGCACCGTCTCACTGTTTCTTCCAAGTGTCATCAATCGTTCAGACAACAATTTCTTTCAAACGTTTCTTACAAACAAGATCATTGCGTCGGTCCGTGTGGCTAGTTCCGCGAAACCTTAATTGCTAACGATTGCTCAACAGTAATTAGAAACGAGCGCGCTCCTCCATCCGGGAGGCACGTACAAAAGCTCTGTGGCGTTCCTGTACCGAGAAATTAAAATGAGTAGCTGTGAGCGAAAAATCGGGCCGATGCCCCGATCGAACCGGCGTGTACCCGTTTCCTTAATAAAATTGCGACCTATTAAGTATAATTACCGTTCGACTGTCGTTAGGAACGAGCAATATCTCGGATGATAAAACCTGAACCAGTGGCACTGAGTATTAAACAAGTACATAAAATAATCAATGGGAGGCTAATAAAAAATATACAGCCGACTGCGATATGAGAGAATTCGCAGTTAATATCACTAGAAAGACGACGACGAATCTTGGAACATTTTAATGAAACGTGCCTTGAAAATGTTCTTCAGAATTATACGAGAAATCAAGTTGAGATCAGCGTTTCTCGTTAAGATTAGTTAACTGGTCTTCATTATGAGATATCCTTGCGAGTCGCTCCGGTTTGTTAAGGCTACGCGGATCGCGTAACGAGTTTCGCCGTCTAGAACTGAAAACCGTTATGCCAGATCATATTATACGGCGCTTGTCCATTGCGAACGGTGAGAAAAAAAAAAAATCGGCTATGAACGAATGCTGAAATCCTACTCGCCGAATACAAAGACGTACGGGCCGTGTGTACGTATAGACACGTGTCGTCGGTAGTCGTCCAACGCTATATTTACGATTTCCGGCGGAGTTAGCCTCAAGACTAGGTCACGGAATTGCATTTGCGTTTACTTATGCGGCGAGCGTGTCGATAACTCGGCTCTACCATGATCCTCGCGCCTCATTTTAATGCCAAATCAATGGGAACGCGTCGAGTTTCCGGTGAGACAAACCGCCACGGCGTTTAGCCCGTAGCATTGCATTTAAGTTTCACCGTAAATGAAAACAATTAATAGAACAGCAGAAATCGACGACACTAATTGCATCGCGTTTTTCCTCTCGACGATTACAAATCGTCACCGAATTTCATTTGAGATGTTGTATGTTCATCGAAAAGTATGGCTCCGTTCTGGTCTTTGATTTCTGTATGCGAAATCCGATACGAAGCGGTTAAAAGGGAAAACGATAATGGGTAACGATTAGCGAAAATCATGACGGTAAATTGAGTTAAATCCGGAAGCAGGACTCGACCTCCTACCTCCCTCCCTTCTCCCGCGGTAACGGGGAATATAATTGTGAACCGCGACAGACGTATACACGGGGTTGGCGGCCGTGGCGGCTGCGAGAGACGGCAGGGGGCGAATAGCGAGTGACTCATCGTTGAGCCAGGCCAGGCCTCACGAGGCTGCAGGTCAGGAGAGGAAGACACTTTTAGCCCACATTTCTTCCTTACCTCCTCTCCCCCTCTTCCTCCTCCTCGACGACCCGGCCTCTCTTCCTTTTATTTTTACTCCGTCCGTACTTATTCGCGGTTCCTCCCTTCCTGTCTCGCCTATTCCTTCTGTGCCTCTTCCGCTTTTCCAGCCGCGATTACCGGACGCCACGAGGATATTATCGAACTTTCAATAATTATTATTGTCGTCTTTTACTGTTAAACAGCTCCTGAATGAAATATTTCGTAAAGACTGTGTAATTCCGTAATGTGTAATTAACGTAAAGGCGACGAAGTATCTTCAGCAAAATCCTAGTTTCCTTCCGGTGTTAAACGGTTCTTATGTGATATGCATCGCGACGGGACGCATCCCCATTTCTTAAGTCTGGAAGACTCTCAACATCCAAGAATGATAATGTAACTCTTGCGGGGCTTCGAGAACCACGCGAGCTCGGTTAAGGTTCCAGATTCCTCTTCCGGGATTATTGAAAAACGCGTTCGAACTAAAACTGCCTCAGGAGGCACTTAAGTGTTTCCCATCGCCGAAGGCGAACGGGTTTCCAGCTCGCATCGCAAAAGCACACGCGAAGATGCGGCGGGAAAATGCATTTAGGTTTCATTTTTTAAGCGACATCGCGAATGTTTCATTTCACATACAAATCAGTCTATTTATAATTGCTTAATTTAAACCATTTACAGAATTAATAATTACGTGTTAAATGTTTCGCATGAGAAATAGTTTAATTAACTAAGCTGCTTGATTTTCTCTTTCAAAGTCAAATACCGCGAGATCATAATTAAACTATGTAAACGAAAATCACAGCATATGGAACGGACACCACCTGTCTCGATATTTTCAAAGTAACCTGATGCCTCTGGGACCAGTTCCCACGCCCCTGTTGCGTCTCGTTAGGCTTCCAATTCTCGACGCCTAAAAATTAACCCCCCGTTCCCTAAACCTGCCCAAACTTAGCTTCGATTCCCAATTTTAAAGAAAATATTTCAATACAATATAAAGAATTTTATATTATTATATGAGAATTTCATTATGACGAAATATTAAATAAAAATGATGAAGAAATTGTTCTCAAATATTTTTCTCTATTGTTTTCAGGTGGACACAAAGAGTTCCACAGGCGGCATAGGGACCTCTGCGAAGACACGCTTCTGCCAGCGGTGTCGTCTGGACCATCGGCGGTTGGCAGTTGCTCCAGTCCGGGACCAGGATGCCCAGTCTTAAGTTTGTCCGGTCCGCCAACTCCGCAGCCGGCTGACATCGACAACCACCCTGCCTCAAGGGTCTTACCGTTCCTGTATCTTGGAAACGGGAGGGACGCGGCCGATCTGCAGCTTCTTCGAGCGTTGGGCGCGACCAGAGTTCTGAACGTCACCTCACAGTTACCCGGTTATCACGAGGAGAGGGGAATCACGTACAGACAGATACCAGCCTCGGATTCCGGACATCAAAACCTCAAACAGTACTTCGAAGAGGCGTTCGATTTCATCGGTGAGTGCAGAAAAAATTTTCATTGAATTCTTAATATAATTTAGGTAGAGAAAATCTAAGCACGTTAGGAGGGATGCTTGTTCTACTGCCCTAATTGAATGGAGTAAATGATACACTTCACTCGAATAGATTCTTTCATAAATTGTTATAGTATTCTTGGAACTGTCCTTCTATTCTCGACGCGGTACAGAAAAACGTTTTAATTCAACTTTAGCATCAATGAAACGAGGTGTTATTCACTCGACGTCAGTTGGGTGATGCGGAATAGGTTCGCGAAACGCTTGTCGACATTGAGCGGACGGACGGTTTCATTGAGGAGCCTGTTGCATGTGATTCAATAAAAATGATACCACGGTTAGCGTAAATTGGTCTAATTGCGTGGTCGGTTAGGTTTAGAAACGCGGTGTTCGAGGAGAGAGGTTGCCGCGTTTAATTCACCGTGAGAGCACGATATGGCAAGAGGGAGGCCGTTCACAAAGAGTAGAGATGTTGGCCTCACGTCGATGAGTAATTCTTTCGGCTGACTGGGTGTGTCCCCGGGCAATGATCGTCATTGCCGTTTCTATATCTGAGCCAGTCCTGCGTTTCTCGTTCGACACTTTCAGATCAGTCATACTTTTCTTTGTCTTCAAAACTTGCCTTTCGCCGAAAGATCTTTTGTTTGAGTTCTGAAGCGTTTAAGGATGTATTGGCTATACAGTCAGTCCCAAAAGTTGATGTACCTTAGAAAAACACATTTCTTGTAATTAAAAATAGTGCACTTTTCTTCTAATTTGAGTATTTAACGAGTTAAGTATGATTATTTAGCATTTTATTGATGTT